ATCCCACATATGAGGGCCAGTGACACTGCCCTCCACAGCTAAGATGCTGAACAACAGCTCAACCTGGAGCTGGGCTGCCATGAGTCGCCGGCAACGGCATAGGCTGTAGCCCCTGTGGCAGTGGGTTGCCATGGGCTACCGTGTGTAGCCAGCAGCCAGCGTGAGCGGCCATCCAGAAACTGGTGACTGATCTGCCTCTCCCGGGAAGAGCGCAATGATGGTGCCAACTTGGGCCAGTGAAGCAACGTCCTCCACAACTAGATAGAAGAACAAAACTTGTCTGTTCCCCTTCCCCCAATTCCCCAGCGCGGTTGCCATCCCCACAATTCCCCAATAAAAATCTTAAAAAAAAAAGGGGGGGGTATGATACATAATGAGTACTTATCATAACTTTTGTTGATAAAAATTGATAAACCTCTGGCTAGACTGATCAAAAAAAAAGAAGACAAAAGTTACAAATATCAGAAATGAAAGACAGGGCATCACTACAGGCCCTACAGACACTAAATTAATAATACGGAAATACAATGAACGACTCTATGTTCTAAGTTTGATAACTTAAATGAAATGGTCAAATTTTTTGAAATACATAAACTGCCAAAGTTTATCTTTAAAAAGATAACATGCACAATCTTACATCTACTTTGAAAATTGACTATGTAGGTAGTTAAAACCTTGTGTCACAGAAATCTACAGGCTGAGATGACTTCATGGTGAATTCTACCAAACGTTTACGAAAGAAATAATAGCAAGTCTACACAAAATTTTCAAAACTACAGAAAAACAAGAAACACTTTTCAACTTATTTAATGAAGCCTGCATATCATAAAAACAGATAAAGATATATTAAGAGAAAACTACAGACCAGTGTTCCTCATAATATAGGCAAAAAAAAAATCCTCAAAAAAAAAAGGCAAATCAAACAATACATAAAATAACAGACCATAAACAATACATAAATAATGATAACAAATCATAACTAAGTGGGGTTTATTTGGAAATGCAAGACTAATTCAACATTTAAAAATTAATCAATGCAATTCACCATATCAACAACCTAAGGAAGAAAAAACAAACTACCACCTCAATAGATGCAGAAATAACATTTGACAAGGCTCAACAATCATTCATGATAAAAAAAAAGGGCCGGCTGAGTGGCTCAGTTGGTTAAGAGCTCGCTCAAGAGTTTGAGCTCTGAGCAACAGCGGTTCAATTCCTGGACCGAGCTGGGCTGCTGCTGAGCTGCCAAAAGGTGGCAGGATGGTTCAGCTAAAAAAAAAAAAACAAAAAAAAACCTTCAGAAAACTAGGAATAGAGAGAACTTCTTCAATCTGATAAAGGGTGTTTACAAAATTCCTTCAGCTAACATACTTAATGATAAAAGATTGAATGCTTACCCCCACTCCCACCCTCACCCCCATGATCAGAACAAGGCAAGGAGATCTGCTCTCATTGCTCTTATTCAAAATCATACTGGATGTTCTAGCCAGCGAAATAAAGGAAAATAAATAAATAAAAGATTGAAAAGGAAAAAACTAAATTTTTTATATTTACAGACAATATGACTATGTTAGAAAATTCCAAATAATCTACAAAAAGCTCCTAGAACTAATAAGTGAGTATAGCAAGGTTAGAAGTCAATATACAAAAATTAATCTTATTTCTACATATTATTTAAAAATTAGAAATTGCGGGCTGGCCGAGTGGCGCGATGGTTGAGGGCTGGCTTGGGACGCCAGAGGGCCCCGGTTTGGATCCCACATATGAGGGCCAGTGACACTGCCCTCCACAGCTAAGATGCTGAACAACAGCTCAACCTG